GCCGCGGCTAACCTGAAGATGTCAACTGGATGTGGGTAACGAGATGGGACCTCCCATTATATTTGTCTTTAGTTTCATGTCTTAATGAGTATATTGGGAAACTCAAGGATCGGGTCGTGTCAGAGAACTTTCATTTGCCTGGCATGTTTGATTTAAAATAGGGTGAGGGATGTCGTAGTTATGTTTGGCTATTGTGTGATGACCAGTTGCTTGAATGGGTCGGTTGTGCTTGATTCTTGCCTTGATTGCGGTTGTGTTGCTTGCGATTCAACCATTTGTGCTTAAACTGTTAGCCCTAGGTGGTCCTTAAGTGTGGGGGAAGTGCTGAACCCATACTATTGGTCCTAACGAGTATTTTCTTGGCTCCACCTTTGGTTTGTTGATTTTGCAGGATCATGTCGCTCGATCACCCGTTCGTGCAAGACCTGCGCCTGCATCCGAAGTACGCCGACCAATTCTGCAAGGTCACCCGCGGAGTGCTCCATCGCCATCACCAATTGGAGTGGGGGGTCTTCGAGCAGTTTCACTGCTTGAACGAGATCACCACCGCTATTAGCCACCCGGATTGGCGGAAGCTGCTAAGCATTGACGAGCCCAACTACACAGAGATGGTGTGGGAGTTCTACACCACCCTCCAGTACCGCCACAAAGCAGCCCGGGACTCCCCCACCGGTGTCACCTTCAGGCTGGGTGGCAGGCCACGGCAGATGAGCATCGATGGGTTGGCCTTCGCCCTGGGGATCCAGTACCACCCTTACTTCCACCATGAGGTAGAGATCCCACACCCAAAGGACTGGAACCAGGATATGTTCTACCGCGGGATAGCTCGAGGCGCCTACAGGAAGCACTACTTCGACGCCGGCTAGACATACGTCTCCACCATCAGGCCCCAGTGGCACATCCTGAACATACTGATCACACGTTCGATAGTCCCCAACGCCACTGGTTCGCACAAGATCCCGAAGCGGGTGCTCTACGCTATGTACTCGATGGGGAACCGGGAGCACATGCTACACTTGGGTTCTTTCGTGGCCAACACCTTCTCTCGGTGCCACGGGAAACCCAACCACCTCTTCTGTAGTCCCCTGATCACCTGACTGTCGTGCGACTTTGAGATCGATCTGGAGGGACTCACGGATGCCTCAGAACGTGGTGGGTCCACCCCCCTCAGCCGGGAGGTGCTCCACAATGCGCTTCTACTGTCTTCTGATGGAGCGCGCTCCTAGGTGGATGGGCTGTCTCTGCCTCCCGAGGAGGATGCAGATCTTGATGAGGATGAGGAAGAGGAGGACTACATCTGCGAGGAGGAGGTCGAGGATGATGTTGATGATGGCGTGGCCATGGATGCTGATGAGCCGGAGCCCCTGCTCTCCCCCCGGGGACCTTCAGCCACGACGGAGACCCGAGAGAGGAGAGTCCTCCTCCGGTCCTTCTGGTCCGTCGATGGCTTCTGGCCCATCGATGGACTTCTTCACGGAGTAGTTCCAACAGATGGGGCTCCAGTTTCAGCAGCTCGGACTCTAGAACCAGCAGCTCATCGACCATCAGGTCCAGTTCTACCAGCAGTATTCGGCCCACCAGGCCGAGTACCAGTCACGGATGACGGTTGGGGACGAGCGCCTCGACCGGATGGAGGCTCAGCTGGGAGTCACTAGTGCTCACATCGAGCGGGAGCAGGATCGTAGCCACCGGATGATGCAGTACCAGGAGCACCTGCTCCAGTCCTGTCACCCGCCTCAGGAGCACCACTGGAGTACCCGGTGGGACCACTCACCACCCCCGCCACCGCCGACGGATGGGGTTGACGACCTCATGGACCAGATCAACTTCACCGGGCTCGAGTAGGCTGTACTCATTTCTCGTCTTGTGTTGCTTTTGTTTGATTCGGAGTGCAGACTGTCTTGTGTTTTGTTTTCTTTTCTTTTGGATGATGTACTATTGGGCTGACAACTGGACCTAACGTATTGTGGCTGAGTTTTGTGTTCCCTTTAGCTGTGCCTTTGCACCGACTGGTCCCCTCTCTAGTCCTCTTCACTCAGACTGGTCCCCTCCAGTCTCATGCAGTCCGTGCACACCGGTAACATCGTTCTCCTTATCCTTCCTTCTTCTCCATTGAGGGCAATGTCGAACTTAAGTGTGGGGGGGATGTTTCTATTTTGACTGCATTAGATCTGTTTGTGTGCTTGGAGCCTAGTCCACTGTCCAAATTTCGATTTGAGGGCTCCAAGTACGTGTTCCTTGCAAATTGCCTGCTCAGTATGCTTTGAATTGACAGTCTCTATAGTAATGTGCAACCTAGGGAGGTAGTGTAGCACTATGGAGGATGTTGAAGTATAAGATTTTTCCTATCTAGCTCTTTGTTGTGCCAGTTGATTTTGTGAATTAGTGGAGCTAGGACCGTTGAATTCATGCGGTAATTGTGACTCCTTTTGAATTGTGTTGTGGACTCATGTATCGAACAGAGTGCTCATGTGGGAAATGAAAAGCAGTTGGTCCTCCATGTCGAAATCATTGAAATCTTAAACATGGGGTAAGCCCAACGTGTGTGGCACCGTTCATTGCAAAAAATCGGGGTTTGGAAGAGATTCTAGTGATCCTTAGTGGGGTACTCCTACAAGGTGAAACTAAGCTGTCTCTAGTACAAGTAAAATTTTCACCCGTTGAACAGTTTGCCTACTCAAGGATGTGCTTTTAAGGGCACTGATAGAGCTTCCGACCCCCCTTAATTTCATTGACCCTCCACACGAGTTGAGGTAAAGGGGTTAAAAGAAGTAATCTGGCGAGCCCCAGATGTACAGAAATTGCTCTTGCTCGACTAATAAGGGTCGACCGGACAAAAGACTGCATTTGGAACCCCTGCTAAGCGAATGAAGAAAAAAAGAAATGTAAAATAAAATTGCAAAAAAAGGGGTTCCAATGGTGAAATGAAGTGGAAGAGCACCCCGGTACAATGAGTCTTTGGTTGTGAATGGTGTGAGTCCCTTTATCCATGAACTGGCTGTCTTACTTCCACTCCTTCTCATAATCCTGGCATGAGTCTAGTACTCGCATTGAGAGAGATAGGGGACGTCTTAGAAGACCATTTGACCTCGTAAGCTGCTATATGATCTAGGAAATCCTCTACCGACGATCAGGGTTGTTTGTTGCTATAGAGGTCTGGAGAGTTGCATTGGTTTGAGTTAGGTTTACTTGGGTACAAACAAACGGTTAAGTGTGGGGGAATCTGATAGACCATTGATTGCACGTATTTTACCTCCATTCTTGAGCCGTTTGAGATATTGATTCTCGTTTTTTAAGCCGATTTCATGCTAGGATGTGTGTTTATGTCATATTTCAGGGCTTGGCGTTGACGTTGAGGCGAAGAAACGAGTTTCAGGTCAAAAGGAGGACGTTTGAGCTGAAGGGTGCTGGAGGAGCAAAATACCCGGCCATGAGCAATAATACCCGGCCGGGTAAAATTCTGAGGAGGCCGGGGAAAAGCACTTTTGGACTTCGAGAAATAGAATGGGTCCCAGCCAAAGAGCAAAAATACCCGATCGGTATTCTTGACCTCGATTGGGTATTAAGGCCTTCACCCATGTGCCGCGTATCAAAATCCTCGGCCGGGTACCTGAAATACCCGACCGGGGATTATGGTCGGGGATCGCGAGCAGCTGACTTTTAAGGGAAAGAAGGCCAATTTTGAGGGGGTTCCGAGTTTTGGAGAAATAAAGTGATACCTAGAGAGAGAAAGCGATGAACCAGAGTTCCAAAGCGCCTTAGATCAATCTTCATCATCAGTGGAGCCCTGATAATGCTTGGAGAAGTGTTGATTGACGACCAGAAGCAGAACCCCATCCTTTACCTGGGTATGAAGAACCATAGATTTGTATATTAGGTCTGATTGTATGGACCCAAGTATGAATCCATTGATTCTATCATATTCAATTGAGGTCTGATTTGTCGAATGGCATGAATCCAGATCAAATTCCTGTTATTTCTGCTTTGACCTAGAGAGAGAGTATATGCCTAGGTTGATAGAGCACCCTTGATTGAGGGTAGTGAATTGACGACTTTAGTAGAGGAGTCAATTCACTATTTTGTACCGGATTTACTTCGGTAGAGGAGGTTGGGTTCGTTAGGGCCTCAATCTGTTTACTCCGGTGGAGGTTAGTCGCCCGCTGGGGACTCATATTGAGAGGGTCTGGAGACCTTTAGTCGAGACTGCAGACTGTTTAAGAATCTCCCGCAGTATAACTATCTTTGAATTCAAACTTGGTAAATTACAATCTGGCTTAACTTCATTCTAAGGGGAACCATATCCGGATGACCTCTCTCAACTTGAAAACAACCTTTTACTGCTTTGCTGGTTTGTTTTATGAGACCTTCGCTACGTTTATCCTGCTAAATAATAAGAATTCACATAGTAGTCAGCACACTTAGGACCCGGGTTGACATTAAAACCCAAACCCGCTATACTACGCTCTAGTAGGTGGTTACACTTGGCCATTTTCTAGGGTGACAGTAGAGGCGAGTCAGGTTTCGAATAAGAACCTTCCCTACGAACAATGGCCACTAGCATCAGCCAAAAACCTTGCTTCTCCCTTCCAACCTATCACCCATCACAAACTACCTTTAAGCGTTCTTCCTCTGTCTTTCTTGCAATCACATTTCGACTTGGTAGTGAAGGAGTTCTAAAACCATGTGGGGGTTCAATGGCTTGCATGCCAAGAAACCCCACTTAGAGCATACTCTTCGAATCTTTTGTGGCACTCTCTACTTTATTGACTCCGTTTTATTACCTCTTTTTCGTTTCTTTCTTACTACTTTCCTTTTCTTTTGGAGGGGGGTACTAAAGATTTAAACACTTGCCACACTACTTTTAACATTCAATGCTCTCCTTTAAGAACTCACTCCAACAATACTCTTTTATGTTTCATTCCTAGCAAGAACCACGCACCATCCTCCTATGTAGAACCTCAATGGAACTCTAAAACGAGAGCTCTGAGACATAAGGACGACACAAATACAGACACGAAGAAAGGATGGGGGGTCGTTCTATCAAACACCATTAAGCTCACAAGCACAAAGCTCCTAATCATGAGAACGACCCCCAAAGTCACAAGGCTCAAAAGGGTTGACTAGGGGATAAAATATTTTGGGACAATCAATATTTGGGCATGAACTAATCATATGCCTCCATCATACACACTAGTGAAAACTGAGATGTTACTCGCCATGGTAAGAGGGATCTAAGCACTCAAGAAGAAAACGATCGGCTCAAAACTCACATGGCTACCTAGTCACCCAATCATACATTCCACTTTCACAAAACACAATAGATGGCAATTGTAATCAACAAGTAATCGAGTCAAGACATCCATTCATTTTTGCACACACGAGAACTAAAATTTTGCACTATCCTAATGCACCTCTCAGTCATCATCATATGACACACTCGATCACATGCAACAATTCAAGGTCAATGCAAATAAACAGGAGATTCTCCTACAAACTGGCCACTTTGATCATGGAAACTTTGCTTGGAGCCCTCAAAATTTTAAATTTTGGGCATACATCTAGGCTCCAAGCATCAATCATACTCACAAAAGCATAAGAATAAACTACTCCCCCCACACACTTAAGTTCGTGATTCGGGCCCAAATGTACAAATTTTACACCTCATTTCTTATTCATTTAGCTTAGTAGATCATCGTTCCTCGACATATTTCATGCTAGGTTGTGCTTATTTTGATACATTTCAGGTCCTAGCACATGTGGAAGGGTCGAGGTTGAATTTTGGGATAATTGGAGGTCAAAAAGCGCAAAAACCGAAGAAAAGTCCGAAGTGACCGTGACAATTGCCCCATAACAGTGAAGTGCAGGCGTCCAGGAAGCATCCGCAGTTCACGGTCAAACAAGGGAGTTCACGGTCTCCTAAGACCATGAACAGGAGCTACAAACCGTGAACATCGAGTAGTCCAGCGAGGTTTCAGAGGTTACTGACGCCAAGAGAGTTCATGGTCGCTAAGACCGTGAACTGGGGATAATGACCGTGAATAATAGAAGCGAAGCGGTGCATTTTGGAGACGACACTGAATTCACGGACGCGTTTAGGTGTTCACGGCTGTGAACTGGACAACACGTTCGTGAACTGGACACTTTCAGGCAAATATGAAGACAAAAGTGGGGAGAGATAAGGAGGAACTGGTTTTTGGAGAAGGAACACTTTCTTTCTCTAGGGTTTTCAACCAGAATCACCAAAGGGGAGTTCTAGTGAGAGAGGGAGTGATCTTGGAGCTTAATTGAAGGCATTGATCAAGCTTGAAAGTTAGGAATCAAGCCTAGAAGAAGAAGATCTGGAGGTTTCTTTGTAATCTCCTCTCTCTCTCTCTCTCTCTCTCTCTCTCTCTCTCTCTCTCAAGAAACTCACTCTTTTCTCTTGGGTGTTTTAGATCGCTAACTAATGCATTGTAGTTACTTGTTCAGATTGAATGATTGTTTATGGGTGTTGTTTAATTCAATGATTGAGGTATTATTCATGTTGATTATGCATGTTTGTGCTTACTAACCTAATCATTGTGCATATGTGTGCTTAGAAATCTAAGGATTGTGCATGTTTGTGCTTAGCAATCTAAAGGTTGTGCATGTTGGTGCTTAGCAATCTAATTAGCCACTTAACCTAGATTCGAGAGGAAAACCCCCCTTCCAAGGGAGACTCAATTAGTTGGTATTCCTAGGGATTTTTAAGTCTCCTAACTAGGTTAATTTAGGGCAAACCTCAATATTGGATTAAGAAATTTGGTTAAGCGCGATTAAACTGTCCAACCATCAGGTTGAAGTAGGGAGTAAGTCAACCATCGATTGCCTAAACCGAGAGGTCCGAGTGACAGCCTAATCTGTATTCCTCGGTTTAGCAATCATGAGTGTGGTCTACGACCATATTTGCATCCCCTAGCGGTTCGCGATCACCTTGCCCATAGCAATCATTTCGGTTCACATACCATGGTAGTAGTTATGGGGAAGCAACTCCTGGGTGAAGCTCCCTTAGTTAGAATTTTCCTTTATTGCTTGTTTAGTTTGTAGTTTTCTTAGTTTGAAAACCCAAAACCGTTTTGCTAGATAACAACTTAAGCGATTGAAGTAGGGGTACATGGACCGACCCGGGTTGACTATTTAAATGCTTGCCCTATACTGCACCCGACTAGAGTTTAAAAACTAGGTCTCTAGTTAGGATTAATTTGTGGTATAGTTTCGTGCGAGTCAAGTTTTTGGCGCCGTTGCCGGGGAACCGTGGTCCATTATTTTCAAAAGGTCGCTTAGTGTTACTCTAGCATTTTCTATCTTGCCTTTTTGTTTCTGTTTTATGTTTCGTGTTGTGTTTTGTTTACCCACTCTTCGTCTTGAAGGGTGGTTTGTGTTTGTTTGATTTTGCTTTTGTGTTTTTGTTTGTGTAGGTTATGAATCATGGATCCCAATGGCTTCTACAGTAGGTGGGGGTACCCTGGAGCTTCATGGAGTGAACAAGAAGGGGGGAAGCCAAGGATCCGGGTTCTATTACCAACCCCTCTTCCAAGAAGAACAACCATACCATTCCGGGGTATGAAGAGGCTTCCCCATATTAAGAAGATTTCCCTCCACAACCCGAGGATAAATCCAAGTTGGAGTTGTCCATGGAAGCCTTCATGGGACAATCTTCAAGAACACGTGCCACTCCACAACTGGAGCCAAAGAGAAACTGGGAGCTCATGGTGGAGAAATTTTCCCGGGTACCGACGAGGGATGCTCCAATTTGGACCTTCCCATCACCGGCCCTATTGACTTAACCTTTCTTCGGGAATAGGAGGAACTCCTTCGACGCGCTAAGAGGCAAGAAGATCTTGTTGAGCAAGCATGTGCACAACTTGCTCACAATCGCCTCCCGCCTTTTGAAGAAGAGAAAGAGGAGGTCGAAGAGGCAAGCCTTGAGACCTTTGGAAGAATGAGCTCCGACATGGATTTCCAACCCCTCTCTCCTCCGAGTTTGACACTAGAAGAGAAAGTGGCACGAGCTTGTGAGACCTATCTCCTCTCATTATAGGAGGAGAAAGAGGAGGTTGAAGGGGCGCTCAATGACACCCATGTGGAGCTAGAGGAACTCACCCCGGAGAGCTCTTATGGTGAGGATGAACAAGAAGGTTCCATTGACGAATCCCATCATCTTCCCCTTTCCAAAAGAAACTTTGAAGACCAAGACACGAGTGCGGAGGAGCAAGAGAATCCCTTAAACCCTTCTTGAAGACATGAATGGGAAGGAGGAAGAAGTGGTTGAAGAGGAGAAAGTGAGCATTGAAGAGGAGGAAGATCTTGGGTGTTCCCATTGGGAGGAATCAAATTTTGAAGAAGGAAGGGAGGTTGAAGATAAAGAAGAAGGTGCAAGTGAGGTCCAAGATGAAGACAAGGTCATGGTGGATGAAGCTTCAACAAGTTACAAATGCGACCAAAGCTTTCCACCCAACCTTGATGCACTTTTTGAGAAGGACCCATTTGCGGCTCTTTGCCTTCCCAAGGCCAAACCATCGACGATCCTTCTTGGTGGATACGATGGTGGTAAATCGATGATGCACTACATGGTATGGGGCAAAGAGAAGAAGTAAGAAGGAAAGAAGAAGAGGTCTCGTGGGTGGAGCCTCAACGCCACTCAAGTTCACGAGCCCTCAATCATGGACTCGTCCAATGCTCGTGACTTGAGACATCACCTCACCGACGAGATCCTCAACTTTAAGGAGGTTCTTGGGTGGACCAAAACTTGAGGAGAATCCGTCCGGCTCATGACGTTAAAGAAGCGCTTGGTGGGAGGCAACCCAACCATTCCATCGGTTTGTTTTCTTTTCGCTTCAATAAGACGACCATTTGAAGAGATTTTGGTGGTGTTTTGGATGTGGCCACCCTCTTGCGGATCTCAACCACCTTCGCTGCCGAGCACAAACATTAACAACTTGACCGGTAACATCGTTCTATCCCCTTCTTTTATGCCATTGAGGGCAATGTCGAGCTTAAGTGTGTGTGTGTAGGTGGGGTGGGGTAGTCCACTACGCATGTGTGTGTGAATGTTTGGTGTAATTTGGAATGCTTGGAGCCTAGTTGTATGCCCAAATTTTTAAAATTTGAGGGCTCCAAGCATAACAACTTCCACATTTAATTGATCATAGTGGCACCTTGTGGTGATTTGTTTTGAATCTCGTGGTTATTAGCATTGTCTATGGATGATTTGCTTGTGATTATGGGCAACCTATGATAACGACTGAGACTTGTATTAGGTTTATGCATAGGTTCATTTCTCATATGTTTGTGAACCGATAGATGTTTTAATCGATTACTTGCTTTTCACTATTACCTTTGCATCGAGTTTCGGGAGTGAGAACGAATGATTGAGCGCCTAGGTAGCCATGCGAGATTTGTGCCGTTCGATTCGTTCTTTTGTGGTAGATCCCCCTTTACATGATGCGTAGCATTCACGTTGTTGCTAGCGAGGAAGATGGAGGGATAGGTTTAGTCCACGATCCAAATGTTGACCGACCTGATCATATCATCCCTTAGTCAACCCCTTTGAGCCGTGTGTGTAAGGGTCGTTCTCATGTTAGGTAGCTCATGCTACTTGAGCTTTATTGATTTAGATAGAACGGCCCTACTTTCTTCGTGTCTACACCATTATCGAGTCACCCTTGTGTTTGGAAGCTCCATTCATACCATTTGAGCTTAAACAAGGTTCCACATGAGTGATTTGTGTATGGTCTTGCTAATAAGTGAAGTGAGTGTGGAGGTAGTAGTTTCAAAGTGAGCATTATTCCTTAAGTTAAAAAATGTGGCATGTGTATATAGCTCTCTATAGACCCCAAAGAAAAGGGAAAAGAAAAGCAAAAAGAAAAAAAAAGAGATCAATAAGTGGGCAAAGAAGAAAAGAGAGTGCCCACCAAAAATATAATAAATGTTGAACATGCTCTTAGAAGTGCTGCTTAGCATGCAAGCTATAGGAACACTTACATGTTGTTGACCTCTACACTCTTGTGCTTAAAATTGAATAGCAAATGTAGCAAGAAAGTGTGCGTGATATGGTTTGGTGATTGGTTGTGGTTTGGAATAGTGGGAAGTGCGGTTTTTGGCCGATGTTAGTGGCCGTTGTTCGTAGGGAAGGTTCTAGACGAAACCATAGAACCTTGTGTCTTAGGTTGAAGATGTGGAACCTCATGTTTTGTTTGCCACCACCCAAAAAGCTTTTCCCCCATGTCCTAGACCCTAGCCAGTCATTTGAACCTGCGTCTAAGAACTCCGGACAAGCTAGCAATGACACCATCTTGTGAACTCTTACATTTAGAGGTTACCGTCATGATAAAGGGATGTTAGGATTGAGCGTGATATGCACATCTTTTACATCAAATGGTCCTGACCCCACTAGTCGAGAGTGAGTGATCCATTCATCATGTTTTGTTCATTTCTTATACCCCGGTGAGGACCTAGGTTGCTCGATCGTTTGTTCCTATGATGTGATCTTCATGCATGAATAACTGTGATTGGTGAGTCGTTGAGGCATGTTGTGTGTGGGTTCGTGAATAATGTGAGAGTTCTTCTTTTGCACAATCTTAATACAGTTGAATGTCGTTTGTGGTGGTTGGCAAGATTAATTTGTTTTTGTCCATAGGTCGGTGTCAAATAACCATTGTGATTCATTCATTTTGTGCCCTATGACATGCCTCAAAAATTTTGTTGAAAAAGAGAAGTTGTAAGCTTACCTTGTGTTATACTTGGTTTGCTTGGGGACAAGCAAACGTCTAAGTGTGGGGGAGTGAATTGGGCCCAAATGTACACATTTTACCTCTCATTTCCTATTCGTTTGGCTTAGTAGATCATCGTTCCTTGACATATTTCATGCTAGGTTGTGCTTGTTTTGATATCTTCTCCCAACTAGCATCAAAAGACAACAACCTTTTCTCTCATTCACAAGAGCATCCTACACATGTTCATTACCCATCCAACATTAAACAAACAGACAACAACACCTATTTCACAAAAGCATTGAACAAATGAAGCATAATTACACAAAAGCAAAATTACAGCAGATTCCAGTCGATAAAAAGAATCCCAAATCGTCCATCTTTTGAGCGAGTATCATTCAATCTTTAAACGCATATCCCCAACAAAGCTTCTGACTCAAACAAAGTGGCGATCCACCAAAACAACTGAAGGAGGAAGAACAGAGAAGAAGGAACGTCGAAACTCACTTGCTGGAATTAGTTTTTGATGTAGAGCCTCACCGTGAAACTCACCTGCGTTATTGTCTTCTTGAGCAGCAGGGGAGGGAGACTCGCGAAGTAGCGAAGCAGGGAGCCCGCGATCTCCTCATAGCCAGTCACCAATCGCCAGGGAGCGGTGACTCACACGAAACTACACCACAATTAAACCCCAATTAGAGCCCAAGTTTTTAAACTCTAATCGGGTGCAGCATTGGGCAAGTATTTATATATCAACCCAGGCCGGTCCGTCTACCGCTACTTCGGTTGTTGAAATCATTTTCTAGAGATAAAACTTTGGTTTAAAGGTTTGCTAATTGAAATGAAAGAAAGCAAAGGCAATTTGGTTTGAAAACTCTTTTGTGGGAAAGTCACTCGGATTTCGCTTCCCCCTAACCGCTACCATGCTACGTGGGTTGCAACGATTGCCTTGGGCACGATAATTGTGAACCGCAGAGGAAAGCGTATGTGGTCAGAGACCACAGTCTCAATTGCTAAACCGAGGTGAGGATGAAAGGCCGTGTCACTCGACCCTCTCGGTTTAGACAATCGGTAATCGACTTACTTGTAACACCCCAGTATTTTAGATTTAGGTTCGACCTTAATACGTGATCGGTTGGATTGACGGTTACGTACTAAGTGTTACAACCGTGAATTAAGAATATTATTATTATTATTATATCATTATTTGTATAAAAAATACCCATATATATATATATATATGTATGGGACGGGGCCGAGCGCCCCAACCCTCAAAGATTCCCCAGCTTCATAAATCCCTCCCCCCGCCAAAGTTCCCTGCCGCCCTCTCCAATTAGATGCCCAAGGAAATAACGCCGCCCCTGCTCCTCATCACGGGCGAGAGGAAAACAAGAAGAAGCCGCCGCCTCCCTGTGCCCTGATCCCGACCCCATCCCTTTCGTGTTCTAGGTAAGGATCACGAACCCCTTCGCGATTTCTAAACTCGATTCATCGGTAGACTAATTCGAAGCTCTTATTTTTATTAGCGGTGACGTTGAGGGTTCGATCAAAAAGGAGATCAACGTCCCGGGTCATCCAACCTAGGCCTAGGCACGTTCTAGAGGTAAGGGAACTCGATCCCTTTCAGTTAGATCGATTGATTTGGTGATTTTTCGTGAGAGTAAAATTCTGGGGTTCTAGCAACAGGCTTTACATGCTTTTAGTGACAGATTTTGATTGGTCACTAAAGCTGCTGGAAATTTCGAGAAATTTATTTTTAGATGTTTTAAATTGTTTCGAGCCTCTCTGAAGGTTGATTTCTGAATCTAACAATTTTATAAATTGAGCGACCTCTAGGAGATGATTCTAATTTGATTTGGAGATTTTTGAAGATGTATTTCTATTTTTAGAAATTGTTCGAATATTTTTTTTAATTAAATAAAAATCTTTCCGAGGAGTTTTTAAGGATTAGATAATTTTCCAGGGTATAGGTGCTCATGATGGACAGGGGAAAATTATTATCCAAATTTTTAAGAAGGTTCTAGTTAGGTGGAAAATCCAAGACTAAAATAATTAAGAAAAATGGTCGTTTTTGAAGGGGTTAAAGGACCTTTGGAGTGAGGATTGAGGATGGGACTTGGAGTAGAGGTGTCTGGGTAGATGAAAAGGAGACATTTAAATTGAGGAAGGGTGTCTTAGAATATGAATTTTCTTATTAATAGGTTTCCTGGGATAATCCGGCTAAGGAGGGAAAGAAGGCGAGAAAGTTAGCAGCCGATTGAACTTCGTAGTCTCGCGTGATGAAGAGGTTCACACCGATTAGTAGGAGGGAAGAGCCGCGTCTATTAGAGGCGGAAGGAAGGCCGAGAACTTGACATTGGTGATCGCAACTGGCGGGGGTAAAGTGATGGAGAGGCGCCGACCCTATCCTCCCAGACGATCCGGGGTGTCGGGAGTTCGAAGTTGGCCGCCGAATTGTGGCCCGAGGAGGGATCTTGAAGAGAATGGCGGCGGAGCTCCAATGGTTAGGGTCGTTGAAGAGGAAGACGATGAACCGATAGAGGAGGAGCCAAAAGAGGAAAAACGCACGGGGCTTGAGCGTGAGAATGCAGACGTTGATGCGGCTAAAGAGGTGAGTGTAAAGGGGGTAATATCTCAGTCGAGGTCTTTTAGTTTATGCTTCTCGTTCAAGTTATTAATTAGTTATTTTTTGAGTAATTTGCGATATGTGTGTGAGGCATCCCACCGCCTGTAAGGGTGGAGGCACGCGTTGTGCTATGTATGAATGTATGGATGTATGAGTGTAATAGTTGGTTAATGGTAAGAGGAACCCCCGGGCGGTTGGGCCACTACTGGACGCGGTAGATGGTCGGGTCACTGCTCAACGGCGAGACGTAACGCAGCAGTCGATCGAGTATGTTGGGTCACTACTGGGCGGCGAGACGTAACGCAGTAGTTGACGAGCATGGACTTGACAACTAGACGTAACGCAGTGCCATTGCTGAGTTTGGGTATGCAACCGGACGGCGAGACGTAACGCGGTTGGCATACTACGGTAGGGACACCGGACAGCGAGACGTAACGCGGTGGTCCCTTGTGTTGGTGTCTTTGGATTAAGAATATAAGTAAGGGAATTCTAAGGATAAGATCGGAGTAGAGATCTCTTATAGACTGTTTGATAGTAAAGTTTAAAGGATGAAAGTGAGAACGAATTTCGTCTAAGGAAGGCATTCCCTTAATAATGTGTTTAGTAAGGAGTTTGCCTAGGGCAAAGACCGTAGGAAGTAACGACGAGACTGACCCCTTCTCACTCACAAGGTTGAGGATAGTCTAGCAGAAGGGGATCACGAGAAGAAGCAGGGCGAGGCGAGCAGCAGTACCAGCGTTGACGGGATATCGGAAAGCTCGTGAGGAGTCAAGTTAGATTAGTTAATTATTTTGTTTCATGGTTATTAGTATAAATTGGAGATTCTGTGTTAAGTCGTTTTTAAGTGTTTGAGATTGAGGATTTTGCCCAAAGTGTTGGGTCTTTTCGTTAAAAATTCTTAAATGATGTCAGTTTGTTTATTTTAAAATGTGGTTTGGGTTGCTCCGGAGTAACCGGTTTTTGGTTTGAATTATGGTTTGGTTTTTGAAAAGAGATGGGACGTGTCATTACTCCCTCACTCAACTCTAAGGTTGGATGGTTTGACCATGATTAATCGACTTGTTTAATTCAATATTGAGGGTTGCCCTAATTCAACCTAGTTTAGGTGGCTTAGAAAGCGGAAGGAAAACCAACTCGATTGAGTCTCCCTTGAAAGGGGGATTTTCCTCTCTAAACTAGGCTAAAGTGGCAAATTAGATCACTAGCTCCTAAATGCACAAACTCAGGGGGTGCTAAGCACAATTATGCACAATCACTAGGATGCTAAGCACAACACATGCACAACCCCTAAGTTGCTAAGCACAAGCATGGACAATCATGGTGAATAATGCCTCAAACATTGAATTAAACAATACCCAATATCAATTATCCAACCCACATACAAGAAAACAACATGGTAGCGTTAAGGTTTCAATACACCCAAGTGAAAGGAGGACTACTCCATGGTAGAAAAGGGAAGAACAAAAGGTAAAAAGGTGGAAACCATCTTTTGGAGATGCCTCCTCTCTTCTTGAACCTTGAGCTGAGATCTCCTTGGGGAAATCTTCCCAAAATTTGCCTTGAGCAAAACCCTATACTCTTATTCTCTTTGGTTCTGTTTCTCTCACTAGAATGCTGAAGAAGGTGTTTCTCTCACAAAAGTGGGCTCTCCCCTCTCTCCTCCTTGCATCTCAACTTTTAAACCCGAGAAGAGCTGAGTTTACGGCCTGAGTTCACGGCCGTGAACCATCAAACGCGTCTGTGAACTCAAGCTGCACGCCAAAACGCTTTGCATTGCTCACGTTAGTTCACGAGCAACTGCTTGTGTTCACGGTCTTAGTGACCGTGAACTCACCTTGCGTCAGTAACCTTCAAATTGGCTCTGGATGCCTTGCGCTTCACGGTCAACTCCCCTTCTTCACGGTCTTGCATGATTGTGAATTCCTTCCTTTAGCCGTGAACTGGCGCTTTTTCACCTTTTCTCCCGGTTTTCAATCCTTTTGGTCAATCCTTCAACTCCGAGGCTGGTTTCAC